GATACAAACAACCTGACACTGAAACCCTGGAGAGGTGTTGGCTGGTTTCTAGCTGTGGTGTCGTGTTCCTGCACATCCCACTAATGGGATAATGCACAGAGACCATCTGTGGTTCCTGTTGTCCTCTGGAATGGTGAAACAGGATGTCTTCCCAGAGGGCTGAGCTGCAAATGCTGAAGATGCTTAGTCACATATTGGCACACTACTGACTATATTGCAGGAATATCACTGCTCAAGGAAGTGCCAAAAAACTGGGTGATTTCAGCAAAAATCCAACCTTGAGCACTATGGCTGGTCACTCCATTGTGTTGCATTTGACTTAGTCTGTTATGTAGACCAGCAAAATTAATAGAAAACTTCTCATCCAAGGAGTTTCTTTATATCTGTTTCTTACAGCTGAGCAGAGGAAAAGTATGTTTTATTTTCCTCCATGTTTGGCAACTTGAGAAAAATAGAAGAGTGGAGACTGAAATCAAGGACTTCAAAGTAAAAAAAAAGGTCTTTTAAAGTTTTGTTTTCAAAGAAAGTGTATCTTTCAACCTTACTTAATTTGCTGGGAGCAAAAAAGGTGTTTCAGAATAAAACTCAAGTTTTCAGATTTATCACTAAGCAGTGAGTTATGTTGGCATATGATGAGATAAGTCACTTTGATTTCTTGACTTCACTGAAGTGTTATAGCACCATGAGTGGTGATTGGACTAAATAGGAAAGATGTAATCATGCATGGAAATAATTTTTACCTTCTGCTGCTTTTCCATCAAGGAATCTAGATACTTGTTATTTTAGAAAGAAAATAAATAATTTTATAAAAGCAAGATTCAAAGTTTGAAAATTTTAGGTGACTGGTTTTGTTTGCAGGTGCTTTTTATGTTTAGGTTTTTGTTTGTTTTTTTGGTTTTTTTTTTTTTGAGAACATATGGATAATACAATAGCAAAATTGTACTCCAATATAGTAATATACAGTAATTTCTCAATTTCCTATCTATTAGCCCATAATTATTATTATTATTACCCTTAAATTATCCTTCAAATATTTCTGGAAATTATAAAGGTGAACATGGTTTGGGTTTTGTTAGGGTTATTCTTTCACACATGCTTATAAACTTTTATTTGTAAATAATGTCTTTTCTCTGAGCTTTGTCCATCCTGGGGTTTGTTGGAGATGAGGATAGTAGCAAAGCTGTTCCAAGAATGTTACTCCAGTGATTGCAAAAGAAGATGCATTTGCTAGGATGAAATCTATGCTCTCAGAGCCCTGTGAAGAGTCAAAGGAACACATTAAACAGCTGCAGGTCTATTTGCCAAGAAATGTTCTGGAGTTCTACAAGATCTGAACTTCTGTATGAAATTGGAACATTGTTGCTTCTAGAGAAAAAGTAATCAGCCAGCTAAAAATTGTGACTAGTTTTTGCATTGAGAGCTCACCTTGTACACAGAGGTAGCTTGTGTGCTGTGAACTCCTATTGGAGTATGGCAGATGTTGCAGACAGTTCAGCTGGTGAAAAATTGTACTGCTGTGCTTTTAAATACATGATTATCCTTAGCTGGCCTCTCCATCAAAACCAAAACAAATTACACCTGTGCTTTTATCCCAAACAAACCCTTCTCAAGCTGTTTCATCAGTCCTCATGGAGCAGCCAGGAGATTTGTGAGTCCTTTTCACAGCCTGAGGGTGGACAGTCACATCTTCTGAGACACTGAGTGTAACACTCACACCATTTGATCTGGGTTCATGTTCATGATGGGCAAGGGGAAATAATGCCAGGCAGAAACCACTCTTGGGTGAAGAGGTCACAAGTGCTTGACCTTAGATGGTGATTTTAGTTCATGCTGAAAACTTACCAACCTTCTCTCTGCCACTGTAGTGGAAGACTTTACATGGAGGAATTGCCTCAAAGCCTTCGTCACACAGAAGGAAAAGATTGAGAAAAGTTCATGTAATGAGTGATTAGAAAAACCTTTTGTGAGAATATGGGAGAAGAGGTAGTAAAATATGGGAAGAGAGGGAAAACTGAATTATTACTTCCTATGGAAAGATGGGGTATTGAGCTATACTTGAAAGGGAAAAGGGAGGAAAAATCCTGCAAGATATGAAATTTCAGGAAATGAATATTTCACATTGTATTTCATGTCATGTCCTGTGAAGACAGTAATTAACATAAAGAAGTATTGGGCACCCTCCTTTTGTTTACAATGTAATTACAGGAAGCTCAAAGAAATGACTGTTGGACTGTTGGAGTTAAGCTGTCAAGTATTCAGTATTCCAGGTGGGATCTACCATTGGGTGTTTGGGCTTCTTGTGTGCTCATCACTTCAGAAATGGGAGTGAGGGAAAGCACAACATCTGAGTTGTCATTCAGTCAGCAGATGTAGGAATGAAGTTGCTACATTTAATACTTAAATTCTGTGTTAGTTGCAACATCAGTGGGATTTTTTGTAAGGTATTTAAAACATCCTTTCATTACTGTTTTGCAACAAAGACCAGCGTGACAGCTCTGTCTCAATACTGTGCAATACAAAGGTGATCACAAAGCCTTATTTCATTTTGGAAAACAAATTATACATACAGATGCTACCAAAGGCAGAACAACACAGTCGCCACTGCAGAGTTAGTTAGTCCAGAGTTTGATCCAGACAGATGGCTTTGACAGGTGTCAGTTCAATGGCTGGACTGAAAGCCTAAGACCTGGGTGACTCTACAGCTGTATTCCCTCCTCACTGCTTGTTCTTCAGCCTCCCATGCCAAGCCATGGGTTAGGAGAATTTCATGTCCCATGATGGTTTGTGGAAGTATATTGCCCTTTTTCTTGCTCACATACTCTGCCCAAAGCTTTCCCATGGTAAACCTCAGTTCTTGTAGTAGAAGAGAAAACGGATAACCGCTCCTTAAACACCTGCTCTGTGCCAGTCCAGACTTTGTAGATGCCTGTCTTAACCCATCTCAGCCAGCTCTTTTCCAAGCTAATGAGCCCTGTGTAACTGTTCAGCCTTTGAAAGTTCTTCCTCCTCTTCCTTGGACGCTGCCTTTGTAGCCTTGACTATTTAGTTTGTCTGCCACTTTTGCCTCACTCTTTCTCTGTGTTAGGAGGTAAGATTTTATAATTTACTAGTAAGCTTTAGAAATTGTTGTGGATTTTGACTTGTCTTGCTCATTTAGATTAGTTAACATATATTTTTGGAGTCAGCTTGGTCAGTGACTGTCACCCTTTTTCTGTCTGGGAACCAAAAGGCAAAATACCTCCTGGAGGTATTTCAGGTCCTTCAGGACAGCATGAGCAAGCTCATTTCTGGCAGTCCTGGCCAGCTGACAGATGCTTTTTTATGTAGGAGGGCAATGATAGGCAAGATAAGGGTGGTAGACAGGAGACGGGAAAGCAGACTAAGGCAAAAGGCTTTATTTATTTGTCAGTCTCAAACATTTTATGTTTTATACTTTTTTCTCCCTCATGCCATGCAACTATCCTAAAGGATGTTGGGGAAGGGATGAGGACCAGCAGTATTTTGTGAAGAGGTTAAATTTGCCACATCTGCCTTACTCTCTTTTGCAACATTCCTGTACCTGTTCTGTATGTTCTTTCATTTCTCAGTGTGTGGGCTGCTGTTTTCATGACATCCCCTGGCTCCACCATTCTGAATGACTCTGCATGTGTTGCAAAAGATTGAGAGATGATGTACCTGTTGACCTTTTCAGGAGAATAATTGGGAAGTATAGACAAGATGATGCTCTGTGGTGCAGGATTTTAATTTCTTTTTTTGGGGAGGTTGTTTGCTTTATGGTGTTATTAAAGAAGGTTTGTATGGAGCTCAAAATACCACATCAAATGCTATTCTGCCTTCACTTTTTTCCTTTTCTTTTATGAGCCTGGTAAAAAAAAAAGTTAGCTAAGGATAACTAAAATATCCTAGTCCTGTCAAGGAAAAGTGTTCATTTGTTACTGACTTAACTTTAGTAGCTACAGAAAGAGCGTGCAAAACTTAAGGGTGGCAAAAAGCTGGTTGATGTTTGCACATGATTCATGTTGTAATGTAGTGAAGATAATTTGAGATCAGCTTTGTGGTGACTTGTGTGGCTGCACATGTCACCTAGAGGGAAATACAGTGTTTAGCAAGAGTTTATATGTAGCAGATGGATTATCCTTATCTGTTGTAGATGGGAACCCTTAATAGCAGGTGAAGACATAAACTGAGTGGGTCACTGAGCCTTTAATAATGAGCAGAGCCTACGCTCAAGCGTCCTATGTCCTTTGTTAGGGCAGGTACCTTGACATAAATACAGACAGATTTTAGTACTCATGACAGCTACTATTTATGTGTCTGTGTATATATGATGAAAACATTCAAAACTAGGAAAACTTCAAAAATTAGGCATATTTTTATATTTGATTTCGCTAATGGAGAGTTTTATGATGCTCTATTCAAGGAGAAAAAGTGGTTTAACCCAAAAGAATGAATACAGGGAAGCATGAAAGCTCGTTACCACAGCTGCCACCTTCTGAAATACTATTAATATAAAATGTTGCCAGCTTTGTTTTCTGTTAACAGAGACCACTTGAATGCCCTCAAAATGAGTTAATCTCTTTTATTCTTTAAAATAATTTTTTTAGTTCTATTTTGCTGGCATGTCTCTAATGTCAGTGATATTATTTTGTATAATCCTATTGCCTGAAGCTAATTGGAGAAGAGAGTTTTGGACACATTGGATCTTATAGTCTCATAGGTAGTTCAGTAATTTGTTGGACCCCCAGAAAAAAAAACAACTGCCTGTGTCCTGAAAAGAAGTTTGAGCCAAACAATTTTTCCTGGAAATGGCAAAAGGTAGTCTATGGAACAAATGAAACAGGAGGCGTGTAGGGCACCCTTCAGGCTGAATTTGAAAGATGAAAATCCTAGACCTGGCAGGGGTGAAAGAGGCTCAGACAATTCACCTGAGGTAATTGCACAATGTCTGGAAATGATAAAATGAAAACCATCAACATCTGCTTTTCTTGTTTTGAGAACAGTGGGCCACCCTGCAGATTGAGGAGGGAGTAAAAAAGCAGAAGGCGATGGCACTTGAAAATTTAATCTCCACTGGTAAGATCTCTGGATGAAGGGGACACAGCACTATTTATCGTGTAAAAAGGCAGCTATGAAATAATCTTACTTAGAAAGGAGTTTGATGAGCAAATATCCATTGAAGCTATAAACCTACATAAACATGTTATAAAAAATATAATCTCTGAGTTTTGTGAATAAAAGGAATTAGAGACTAGTGTGGGTATATAAAGACATTGCTGATAAGCATTTGGGAAGCATCCCTGTTTTCATAAGTGTTTTTTGCTTTCTGGCTCCATCAGGTCTCTCTTTACAGGATTGGGATAAATTAGTGTTCTTTGTGCTTGACATGGCTCTGCATAGTTATCTTTTGCTTCTTGTTAACTCCTAGCATGGAAAAAAAATCCAGGCTCTGAAATAAAAGAGTTACAGCATCCCACGGATCACAGATACAATTTGCACTTTTTTCTAGACACAAGGATAAAATCCAAATAAGTTTTTCCCCCAACTATTTTTCCTTCCTTCTTTGACCAAAGAGTTAAGTTCTCATAGTTATCCTTTTACTTGTAGTGTCATTTTTTAATGATTAGTCATGTAGGCTGCTTGGTTTGTCAGTTAATAATTTTCTGGTCTGATGATTTCCTGGGAGTTGAAGGTTTTACTGAAGTACAGATGGAGGAAAGTTTTGTGATTCAGATCTGGGAGAGGTAGGTTGACCAAGATAAATTAAGTGTATTTTTATAATGCATATTTAATGTCATCCTATATGCCCCATCTAAAAGAAAAAAAAAAAGAGGGGGGGGGAAACAAAAAGGCCAAGTGTTAGCTGGTATGAACCAAGAGAATTTTAGTCACTGTAACCACCCAGATAAGAATCTGGTCTCAGAATGACCTCAGCAGATATCTGAGACTTGCTGTATGGCTGTCCTGTGGGGTGTGATTTTACAAATAGCAGAGCAAGAATGTGTTGTCATTCTTCCTGCACAATGTGTCTGTGTACTGCTTTGTATGTCTGTGGGGGGAAATCCAGGCACTTTCAAGTTTCTTGATGGGGAAGTGACTCTTAATGGAGAATGGATGGGGGAGATAGAAGGTTCCAAGAAAAAAAAATGCAGAAGAATGTGTTTTTTTACAGCTGGGAAACAATAAAGCTAATCAACAGCAGCAAGAACAATCATACCAACTCTGCCTGAATTTGAGTCAAGGCACCAGGAGGGATCTGCTATCTTGGCAGTGTATAGGTGACATTTCTAGGTGTGAGTGCCTATGTTATTTGGTAAACAATAATGAAGTAGGTGTTGTGCTCAAGGTTTTATTTGCAGCTTGATTGGAATCCTTTTCTCCTTCCGTAGCAACTTAGGGGCATTATATGGCATAGGATTAGAGAAGTAACTTGTGCAATGAACTGTCAGTACATAAATGAGGCATAGCAATGCCATTATTGTGCTTGAGTAGGAGAAGAGCTGTTTCTAAAAAGCATATGTATTTCTTGATATTCTCTTTGGAATCCATGTTGTTCATTTCACCATGTGGAAGGAAGGCTTGTTTCCTCATGCAGGAATCATCCAGAGAGATGAGACTCCCATGGAAAAGGAGGTTGTTGGCCGGTGCCGAGGATGTTTCAGCCTTGCTGATGTCATGTACTTCTCCAAGAAGGGCTGTGAGGCAGTTGCAGAAGATGAAGTCACTCGACGGTTCTCCTCTGAGGAGCTGCTGTCCTGGAATCTCCTCAGCAGAACCAATGCCAACCTGCACCATGTCAGCTGGAAACTGGCTGCTGTGTGGGTCACTGGCATCCTGATTCGCTATTGCCTCCTGCTGCCTTTCCGGTGAGCCAGACAGGGATCGTAGTCCATGGTACTTCTTACAGAAGTTGTGAAATAATATAGTATTGGCTAGCAGAGGAAGAAGAACTTGGCATGGCATCTAAACTAAAATATCCCTTAAAAAAAAAAAGTAAATTTCTCACATTCCATATGTTTTATTAGTAGTCAATTTGTTTTTAAAATCCAGCAAAGCTGGATTAAGGGGTTTGTGTGCTGGTTAGCTAGTAGCTTCTTGCTAGTTAGATGCTATTAATGCTGGAAGGAAGCATTGTGAAGTGGATCAAAGAGCCAAATAAGAATGCCTTCTTGCTTACTCCTCCAGTTTTGCTTCTTGCCATTTAATTAAGATTATTTTACTTTGTAGCATCTGCTTGTCTGTTTTCAGCATTCTGTTGCTGGTGTTGGCCACTACTGTAGTAGGACAGTTTCCAAATGGCAGGTAGGTATTTGATCTTTCAATTTCTTCTGTATTTCTTTGAGGATTTGAACTAGTAGTTGGAACACTCTGCTGAGGTCCAGAGGATTGATGTGGACTATTATGGGGTGACTTTTTCTCTCCTGTAAAATTATAGAGTGTTGTGAGAGAAAGTTAAGGCAATGGTGTCTGAAAGCAGACATGCAGTGCGAGCCTTAGTATGGTCTTTGTAGTAACAGCAGTGGGGGATAACTCAGAGAGATTACATTGCATCTGTGGCTCCATAGAACTAGAAATGTATCTATGGCTTAATTTCTTTTAGAGTTAAAGGCTGGCTGAGCAACCAGGTCCAGATGATATGTGCCACCTTAGGTATTCGATGTCTGAGTGGCCTTGTTCATTTCCATAACAGGTGAGTGCTGCCACCTTGCCCTTTATTAGTCTGGAGTTTGTTTCTTGCAGTATTTAACTTCTCAAGTTTTGGAGCAGGATTCTTGTTCCATTGCTGCCTGGATACTTGGTGATAGTACAACTTGATCCAAAAAGCTGTTTGGATCATCCAGACTCTGTCAGGATGTTCACATGCCCTCCTGCGTTTCCTGCTGTGTATTGGCAGGGTGCGTGTAGATGACGTAGTACTGTCTTCAGACATTTAGATATTTTTCAGTGCTTGCCACCTGATTGGGCTTGTAGTCTGAAGAATAAACATTAACTAATTAGTTGTATGGTTGTCACTGCAGGGAAAACAAACCACAGGAAGGAGGTATCTGTGTAGCCAACCACACATCGCCATTGGATGTCCTAATCCTGGCCAGTGATCGATGCTATTCCTTGGTATGAACAAGACAGTTGGTAAATATCAGTAATGTTGAGATGCACATAGATGTAGCATTAGGTAAGAGGATAAACTTCCTCAGAAAACAGGTGGGATTTGACAGCATTCAAACTCACAGTTCACTCTGAACTGCAAAAAACTAGATGCAGGCAGGTGTGTGCACATTTATGACCAAGGGGATTGGTATAATTTGTCAATAAGCTTAGAAATTATTGCATTTGTGTTTAGAATTTAATTTAAGAGTATGTGTGTGTGTGTTTGCTTTGTAACAAAATTCTTTTGGGCTTGCAGGTTGGCCAGGTACATGGAGGGCTTCTGGGACTTATTCAAAAATCCTGCATGCAAACCTCTCAGCATGTCTTGTTTGAACGCTCAGAAATGAAAGACCGTCACCTGGTGAGGAAAAAGTAAGGTAGTGAGGTGTTTGCTTCATTGTCTGGTCAGGTGTGGTAATTTGTCATCAGTGTTGACATTTTTTGTCATCAGTTGTGGGGGGTTTTTTGTCTTTTTTTTGTTTTGTTTTTGTTGTTTTTTTTTAAATTTTGTTTTGGGTTTGTGTTGTTGGTTTTTTTTATGTATGGTGTTTTGATATTGTCCTTTAATGCAGACTGAAGAGGAGCTCCATATTTTTGACTTGTAGGAAAGACAGTTATCTTGGAAAATGACTGATTTTAGTGTCAGTAATCTGCTTAGTGGTGATATTTGTGGTTTTAAGTGATGTAGCAAATGTACCTGTCACTTAACTAAATGTGGAGAATCATTAGATACATGTAAAACTGATGTTGGGAACCCAGAAAGCATAAAAACTAGAAATTTGGAATATATTTCAGTCTAAAGAAAAGTTTGACTGCATTCATAGCTGGAATTTGGGAAGTTATTTTCACATGCTTCAAGCACCACCATTCTCTGGTTAAAATGGAACTTCTTACAGCTTTGTAGAAAATCTACTTTTTTAATTAGCAAGAGATACTGAGATAAAGGCCTGAAACCAGAACATATTCCAGATGAGGCAACTGACTGGGCAAAAGGCAGTTGGGCAAGGGTTTTTCTTGTTCTGTGTGAGAGGTAATGAATGTTTAGATTCTTGGACAAAATAAATATGAAGTATACTGAAATTTTATTTTCTCTCCACAGAATTAGAGAACACATTGCAGATAAGGCCAAGTTACCCATTTTAATTTTCCCAGAAGGTAAGAAGCAACTGAATTGGTTTTTTTGCTCTTATCACTTCTTGCCATGAAGTGCAGTTTATTATATCCAGTCTTAAGAAGTGAGGTGTTTATTTTTAGTTTGTAGAATTAATTAGCTCTTTTGAGATATTAAAGGTCAGGCTGTAGTATTTTACAACAATTTTATGACAGTTTATTTGCTTTAGCATATAACAGAATGAAGACATACAAGGCTCTGGGATTATGTTCCAGAACTAAAGCTTACTTTCTCCTTTAACAACTAAGTCTCCTTAAGACAGTTTAGGATTAATTTCCTGATACTTTTCTCAGAGTGGATTAAGCCCTTCATCTATTTTAATTCTGACCAGGCACCTGCATTAACAACACGTCGGTAATGATGTTTAAGAAGGGAAGCTTTGAGGTAGGAGGAACCATCCATCCAGTAGCAATCAAGGTACTGTAACTGCAGTTTTCCAAACGTGGAAGGATTGGTTGCAAATGCTTCTCATGTCAGAGAAGCTGTTCATGTGTAGGCCTTGATAAGGGATATGTTTGGTGTGCAGAAAGTACTGAATAAACCCTGAGAGACACAAACTTGTGGTTTTGAGCAGTATGGGAAACATGTAATTTCTGTCCTGGCTCTTATGTGCTCTGAAGATAAGGGCAGTTTTCTTGGCTCTTTCAAGTCTTTCTGAGTAGCTTTAGCCAGGTCATTCTAGATCTGGAAATATTGGTTACTTTTTCTGGTGCTATAATGTTGCCTGATCTTATGGAAGTTCTTAAAAATGGTGTGAGCATTGTCAAGGAAACCTTTGTAGTCAGCTTATTTGTAGATGGCAAGTTGAATAAATCTTTTGCTATAGTTGTGTTGCAGGTCTGTCATAGTTTGACATCATGCATTCCTTGTAAATGTTAACTGTTAGAAACTTGTAATTAATGTTGGAACTTCACTCTGAATTTACTGATGCTTTCAGGAGGTGTGATTAGATTTGCCCGTTATTTAATAAGTTGAATTGTGACTTGGTGGCCAAAAAAAAAAAAAAAAGCAGTTTATGTGATTTAATCCAAGGCAACTTATTTTTCTTGCCTTCCAGTATGACCCCCGCTTTGGAGATGCCTTCTGGAACAGCACAAAGCATTCCTTGATGACCTATGCTTTTAATGTGTTAACCAGCTGGGCTATTGTCTGCAACGTGTGGTACCTGCCGCCGATGGTCAAAGAGGTTCTTACACTTTTGTATGTTTTGAAAGTGCTTGAGAAATGCCTGGAAGGAGGTCTGCATTACTACACAACGTGTTCTGAGTCCTTATTGATAACTTAATGGACAAAGGCCAGGAAACAACACTACGGTCTTGGATTTATCTTGGATGCATCCCCTGCTCTGGCCAGACCTGGGACTTCAGGCTGTGTGTTGCTTGAGGTTGTCCCAGAAACCAGAGAGCCTCCCATGTAGTTCTTTTTGGCACCAAGTAGTGTAAAACCAGGATCAGCTGGAACTGCTCACATTTGGCTTGTGGGTCAGGCACAAACCCTACTGCCTGCTGTCTGACAAAACCTATCTTTTTAAGTGAGGCACAGAGAAAATGTCTATATTGTAAAGCAATTAATTAATGTATTTTTTTTTCAGGAAGAAGAAGATCCTGTTCACTTTGCTAACAGAGTCAAGGCTGTCATCGCTGCTCAGGCAGGAGTGTCTGTGCTTCCTTGGTAAGAAGCAACACCTCTGGAATTGTTTTTAAAGGTGCTCTGTATTCTGAAATATTAGCATGGAATCCTTTAAAACCTGCTTTGTTTACACTGTAGTCCACCACTCCAACTGACTCTGATTCAGAAAATGTTACTTTATTACTTTAACAATTACATTAGAATAATTAGAATAATATAGTAGATAGGGAGAAACAGAGTTGACAGTGGATCTAGACAGCAGGCAGTATTAGATGAAAATTAATCACTTGCCAGTTAAATGCTGGGTTAAAAGAAGGGCATTGTGGTGTTGTAAGTCTTGGCAGTATAAATCACTTAGCATTGTCTTACAGATGTCAACATTAAGAGTGGAAACTGCTTTGACTACATAGTCTAAATATAGTAATGTTTTCCTGCCTTGACCCTGAGTTTAAGGCTGTTTCTTTTCTCTGTCTTTCAGGGATGGGGGACTGAAAAGGAAAAAGGTCAAAGAGTCTTTCAAGGAAGAGCAACAGAAAAAATATTGTGAGATAGTAATAGAAAATGGATCTGTGGAAAACGGAAATGTTTGTTAAATGCTATTTATTTTATCTCATTTTTCCATTATTTATCTCTACCAGAAAATAGACTGGCTTTATATGAAACCCAACATGTTTTCCTTCTCTCCCTGTAAGATATTTTGCAAACAATAAAGAAATATCCTTATTTAAAGCAAAATAATATAATTTTCTAAATAAGAAAACATAAAATATGCTAATACAATTCTCCCTGATGCTGAGAAGAATCTACAGTAAAATTATTTATGTTCATTAAAGTACAACTTTAAAGTATTTGCAATACCTTGAGGACTTAAATGGTTACTTATAATAAAGTACACATCTGTACTGATAGACTCCCTCAGCAACTTAGACTAACAATACTCCTGTGAGCCACAGTAACCATGTTGCTCTAGAGATAGATCTCCTGATGTCAGATGACATGAAGCATTTCACCAAAGTATGTTTTCTGAATTGCATGTTGGAGAGGAAATGTTATATGTCAGAGGGAAAAAGCAGATGCTGACTTCCTCCTCCATGTCACAAGGCCAGGGATGGCATTGTAGAACATTTTCTGCTATGACAAAGAGCAGAACAGTGTCCAGGGCATCATGTCCCTGATGTCTGGGTGTGTGAAGCTGAGGTAAATTAATCACAGCCAAGGACAGTGTCATAGAAATATTTTAAAATCATATCTTGTGGTTTTGTTAGATCCCTTTTTGAGTCTGTTTGTATGCATTACACAAATTAAAGAAAGCCTATAATGTGACATCCACTGTCCTCTGCTGCTGTTATTTCTGGATAGCTGCTTGCTTGTGTTACCACTGGATGTGAAGGCTGAGGATTTGGCCTCTGACAGGCCCATCCTCCAGGAACAGTGCAAGTACACTTAAGGAGCATGCAGTGGGAATATTTCTGTCTCCTATAGCATTTATTGGTATAAAATATTTGCTGTCCTGGTAAGTAGCTCTCATATCAAAGGATCAGGCTTCTTTAACTATCTGAATGTCCCTAATGAAACACACAAATAGCTGCTGTTTTGGCCATGGTGCTCTTAAGACAGAACAGTTAATAATGTTTACATGACAGCAGTCCATTGGCTGAAGTCTCAGAAAAGACAGAGGATCAGTCTTGGTGAGCACAAATACATCCTACAGAGGGACAGATGCACAGACACAACTCTACCCAGCCCTGGAGAGTCTAGAAAAACAATATCCCCTGGAGGGGCTAACAGAAGTGGTAATTGCCCTGGGGCTGCATGGCACACAGGTAGCACAGAACTGAGCTCTCCTCTTCTGTGGCCAGGCCTGGCATTGCTACAGGTATGTGAATTTCTTTGGTGGATAAGTAGTCTAAGTGTAGGTGTCATGGATAAGCAGTAGGAGAATCTGCCCTTTTGTGCAGCTTTTAGCCACACAGGATAAAAGGAAAGCCACCAGGAAGTAAGGAAAATTGCCTTAGGCTTTCCTGATTTGGAACAGATCTACTTACTCCCAACTATAGTAAGATGTGCTTCCATGGCTGTTTAAGCTGTTGATCTATTTTCTAGGTATAAAAATGTGAAGAAATGTGATTAAAAATCCAGAAAACTCTCAAATGTTTTCGGTATGCTGGAGTTTAAAATGGGGAGATTGTCTTTCTGTGTGACAGATTTCTGAGAGTTGCTAACAGAGACTGCAGTAAGAGAAGTGGTGAGAGCATTCTTCCCGCACTACTGTGTACTTTCTTCATTCTCAGAGGTAAAATGGGAGACTGAATAGGCAAAAAAGAGGGGCCAGACACAGGAAAATATGGGAGATAAAGAACAACTGCTGGAAGACACATTTTCTGCTTCTGTAAGAAATTAGGAGATTGATGTGCCTTTTTTTCCTGTCCTGCAACACTTCTCCAGCTCATCAAGAGGAGCCTTGGAATATGTGATCCCCATTATTGTTGTGACTCCAAGCTCTGTAAAAGTAAAGCTCAGACCTCTGAATGTATGAGTATTATGTGTCATTTGTGAGAGGACGGTGGCATTGTCAGTATTTTCTCAGCCATTTTTTGGCTGTCTTAGCAAAGCAAGCTGAAAACTCTGTGGAGTGGGTACTTACATATAGAATGGGGAAATATAAACCAAGTGATGAACCAATGAACTTATCAATTACAAGTGGAGTGTACTTTGTTACCTGCTGGTAAAAATGCCAATCTGACTTGAAATAGAGACTACTTTGTCTTGCCCTGCTTTAAAGAAGTGTTTCTGATTTTTGGTGTTTTCTCTACTTACTTTCCACCTCCTCCTTTCTTTTCTCTTGAAATGCAAATGAAATACAGATTACATCAGCAGAGGCCTTGGCAATTGCTTTTACCTGAAATTGTATATTGACCTTAGATTGCCAAGGTTATGGAGGAATTTATTATTATCCAAAAGGTCTCCACAGGTAAGTGTGTTTTCCTCCTCCACTAGGAGGGCATGGTGACAGTAAAAAAGAACATGTTCTTATGACAACAACATGAGTGGGAAGCTGACAAACAGCTTATTTTTCACAATCAAGGATCTTGCACTCGTGTTACTCCTCCTCTTTACTTATCTTTCACTGGTCTTGCAGGAACCAGGTTTCTAAACTATTAGAGTGTAGGAATGTGCCCCCTGTTGACGGAGTGAACAAATTATCCTTTGTCTCCTTAAAAAGGAAAAAAGCCCAGAAGTTCCTCTCCTAAGTTTGGTAAAAGACACCTCATAGGACCTTGGGGACTTCACCTCAAACCTAAGGATACCCAATTGGACAGAGGCCAAAAGGTCCTGCTTAAGCAATTCACTAGAAAAAGAAGAGAGCAAAGGAAGTAATTGCTTTTGTGGGGTGTTTTTACCAGGAGCAAGAGCCTCTTGCCCCTGGCTTAGTTTTTCTCTGTAAAAAGCTTTTTTATTTTGCCTTTTATTAAAACTTTTCTGTTTCCAACACTACCTCAGAAGCCATCCTGCTAATTTTATGTCATCTGAGGTAGCTGGGCTATCTTGGGTGTGATAGCCCAGCTATCTCTGAGAGCTCATAAGACCTGGCTCGAGGAGATACTATATCATTAGAGCTCCTCTTTTTTACCATGTACCTTTGCAGGATCAAATGCAGCATGGTCTCAATGCTCATTTGTGACAAATTATAGGCTAAAATGGAAGCAAGTGGGGTATTTGGGTGGACCAGGCAATTAATGCCCAAAAGAAAACAAATCAAAGAAAAAAACCAAAAAGCTCCCAAATCCTGTCAGTGTAAGTAATGTTTTTGCTTGTTATATTTTTAAATGTATTTATTATCTGATAGCTGTGCAAACAACATAGACAAGATGTATCATCATCTTGGACAAGCCTGTGAATGCTGCCTTCCTCCAGAGCACAAACTTCCTCTTCTGTTTACCATTATATTTGCCCTTAACCAAGGAGCCTTGTTCTTTTAATTGACTGGATGACCTAATCTCCAAATTAAATATGATACAGCTAATAAGTGCAGGGAAGACCTACATTCTAGGTAGCCTTGCTTTTTAATTTGGTGCTGCTAGCTGGTACCTATGTATGAAGCACGTGAGGGATGCTAACTGTTGCTGTGGCACTAATACATCAGGAAACAAACCACAGTGGTCCAGGGTGGCATTCATTCCAAACTTCAGCTGCCCAAGGAAATGAGTCACGAGTTGAAAATAAATGTAGGTTGGAATAAGTGAATAAAATAACTCCCTCCTGCAATGTGGATGGGGCAGAGAACAAAAATAGCTGCTGCTTCTAGTTCTTGAAGATATTACTGTTTTAACAGCTGTATGGATGGAAAACCATATATATTTTAAAAAGTTCTCCTTTAGTGAAACTTGGGCAGTGTGCTCATTTTTATGATGATCTTTCCCTGTAACATACCTGCAAAACTGATTGGTGTAGCTCAGATTCTTTATTCCCTTGGCTCCTGCTGTTTTACAATTGGGAATGTTTAAATGCTCATCTCTTGACTTTTCCCCGTCTGGCTGGCTGTTCATAGCTGAGCGTTAGAAGAGATATGCAACGGGGGCCATCTGGTGGTGTCCAGTCATAGGCAGCAAACTGCCTCAGACACCCTGCTCTCCCATTTCCAGGAAACCATGAAAACGTAGAAATAACGTTGCATCATCTGTACACTGCATTTTTGAACACTGATCGTGGTTTACTAACCGCAAAACTTGTGCTTGCTTGAAGTTTCAGCAGCCTTTGCTGTGTGGGATTTCTCCAGGCCATCTCTTCCCTGTCACAAACCACAATCAGAACTGCTCCTGTCCTTTAGTTAATTCAAAATCAGGTAGGGGTCTAACCCCTGAGCTTTTTGGTTTTTTAATATATTTTAACACTCTGTAGAGGTGACACACTTGGGATGTTCCTGGAGGCAGTGCAACATTTGCATTTGCTGGGATGAATTTTGACAGTACTTAATGCAGTTTGATCTTGATCTGGGGCTGGCGATACTTTCAGAATAAGATTTCAGGATAATGAAGACGTTTGGACCTTGTTTTCTACCACCCTGCATTTCCTTGAGCTGTAGTGAGAACTACAAACTGTTAGTGCCAAATTTAATAACACAGTGTTTCATTCAAACTCTTCCATGTGCAGCTTGCTATGAACAAAACCAAGAAAAAGCAGCCTGGGCAGCTCCTCACTCTAAGGAACAAATTTTGGTTACATGTGCAGTCTTGTTGCTATGACATTTTCTGAAAAATCCTTTTGCCAGGATTTTCTCCTGAGAAGCTGAGGAGCCTCAGGAGAGAAATGTAAACAATAACTGCCTGCTGCTGTGGAATGCAACAGGTCCATCTTCTATTGGTCCATGTGGATTGTTTTCACTTAATAACCAGTCACAGCCACCTGTGCCAAGGCTGTGAGCAGTCACAAAGTTTTGCTAGTCATTCCATTCCTGTCCTTTCCAGCCTTCTGAAGGATCTTTTCTTTCTATTCTTTTTAGTATAGTTTTAGTATATCATTTTAATATATATCATAATATAATAAATCAGCATTCTGAAACATGGAATCAAAATTATCATCTCTTCCCTCATCCTGGCACCCTCAAACACAACCATAAGGCCTGATTTCAAGCATGCCAATGGAGTCACATGTCACAGATGAGACTTCTGGGGTTTATGGCCTCTGTGAGATTTGCTTTTGGAAATGTTTCTTCTGAGGTGTTGTTCAGACTCTTTTGAGCAGGTTTCCCAGCTGTGGCACAGATTGTGGAGATGACCTGTGAGGCGTTCACAGGTTCATTTGGTGTTTGAAAAGGAGGCTTGGAAGTTAGTGGACATCCATCACACAGAGGCCTTCCTAGTTCTTTGTTTCTTTATTGTTTCATTGCACAGACAGGCAGCACCTTAGCTCTGTAGCCATTTCTCCTCTCCCCTTCTCCTCTATTTATTATTCTATTTAAGGATGGCTCCTCAATTAGTGTACCAGACTCCTCTGTGAGCAGAGTTCATTGTGATCAATTGTCATCAAGGCTCACGTTTAGTACATCCAATCAATGCTATTCTATATAATGGCTGTGGTATTGACTGATTTCTAATTTAACAGTATGTTGAGCCCTGTTGAACTCTTTTAATATGATAATTACTTTACTAATCAGTAGTCATGATTTGTGTGCAGATGTGGATTATTGATATCAGTTGATGTCCCCTAGTATTTCTATTTCACAGTATGAAAGATGTGTGTGATGAAAGACGTGTAATATCTAAACTGTGGCCATTAATCAGAGTAATATTGGGAAAACTACTATATCCTTGCATATTAAACTTTTAAAAAGTAGGTTATTAAATAATTTGAAAAGGCATATAT